TATAGGCACTATTTTCCTGTTACGTTCTCTCACAAAAAATTTAACTCATCAATTAATTATGTAATCAAAATAAAACAGCACATTCTTTACCAATAATAAAGCACGAAGGGAATCATAAACAGACAGCATGTAATTTAAAAGATATGATTTTATTTCTTTGGACAGTCTTGCAGTAGTTTGAGATGTGAAGAACCAAGCAAGAAACTCCCAAACGACTTTTCAAATGCTTTGATCCAACAATTTTAAGGAGATTAAAACATCTTGATAAGCCACCGATCAATATTACACGTTTGTTCATGTATTTTATTGTTTGAATCACATTAATACAAACACATGTAGACTAAACAATCTACATTGAAACCAGAATTTAAATGTACTTAAATGGAAATACAGTAGAAGAAATAATCTCTAGAGTTCCTATAAGAAAAATAATAAAATTTGCATTTAATTTATTTTTGACATACGAAGTAAAAGAAAGCTTTAACACTGCCCAGCAGAATTCAGGCTCATTTAAAGTTAAATAAGAAAATAAATACATAATTTAAGGAAAATAATCTTTATGTTATAGATTGTCCTCTATATGGTATATATTATATTTTTGACAAACTTTATATTTATTCTTTACTTACATTTCCCTACATCATAGCCACAAAATTACTAAACAGTAACGTTCATCAGACACAACAATAGTCACTGGTCATGAATGCAGTACTGAAGATCTAAATGATCTAAAGTAGGACAATTGGTTTTAAAATATTTTTCTCACAAACGGGTCCATTCTTTTTTTTTTTATTATTTCAAAATGAAGAAAATTCACGATTGCACCATAATATTCCAACACTTGTGAATTTATCCAAGTATAACTAGGCTTTTATCTCTAGATCGACAACATTACACTGAAGTTAAAATTTTGGACCGCTCTTAGGTTTTTCTAACAATTTTCACTGTCACCATTATGACAAACTGGAGTCAAAAACAGCACTTCACGATACAAGAAACACAGTACTGGAATGTACAGCAGTAATCCATGCAGACACAGCACCTGTACCATTCATACCAACAGCTAATTCTGCACACGCACGCACACACACACACACACACATGTACGTTGCTGCCACATTATCCTATGCTAACAGACCCAAAAATATGAGTCCAAGATGGTGGTCACACAGTGACTGTGCAACATTTTTGTCTTTTTTTTCAGTCAGCTAATCAAGACCATCAGGAGAGGATGTGACCAAGAGGAAAAACAAAAACAGTGAACTGAAAACAAAGAAGAAAATTTTTTCGTTATTTATGATAACATAAGGCATTCACTGGGGCCATTTTTGTTAATTTATAATACCGGGGAAAAAAATTGTGATAACATTTGAGCTCCATATTATGCAACTTATAAGTACATTATATAATCTACTGAAATAAATATGGTTTTGCATTCTAGCATAACTTAAAGTGTTGTAATTTTAATCAAAAGTGCAAACAATAATATGATTTTGGTGCTTTGGGTCAGTTGGTTTCAAAACCTTGTGACAATCAAGACTTGTCAACAAACACCTGAGTCCTGTCAGGTGTTTCTGCAGATTTTACCACTTGTGCTGGCAGTAAGTGGCAAACGATTAATCTCCTACTTATGGCAGGACAGCTGTGCTGCAACTGCTGACATCACCTTACACACCCGACACTTCCCGCTGCAGCAACATGACTGTCTATTTAAAGGCCCTCGTCCTCACATTTACTCATTAAATTAACATTCACTGTGCTGTTGCCTTGTCAATCTGAGCCTCGTCCCCACTTATTTTTTTCATTCATTCAACTTTTATTTAGCTCGGCTGTGTTTTTATTCGCTCTGGAAGGATACCACTTCCTTTAGAGAGATCAGTTCAAATGCTCATATTGTGTGTCACGTTGTCACATGCTTTGACTTTCCAAAGCAGGAAATATCCGTGAACCATTCTGAATCTCTATGGCTGTCTCTGATTGACGAAACTAGCAAATGTCGACAAAGGTGAAAAAGAGTTGACGGATGCGTTAGATTTTAAATTAATCACATTCTCTAATAATGACTAGGTCACCTTGAAACAAGCAGTGAATGATATGTGAGCAAGTGAAAAGTGGTGCACAGTCTGAAACCCGAAGATGTTTTTAAAATCATATACAGAAACCTCACTGTATTAACGTAAACCCTTAAGTAATTTCTAATTTCTAACACAAGCTATCAGCTCCCTGTACAGTCCACACCTGAGAACGGACCAACAGTAGAGGAAACACTGGACAGAGTGGAAGGTATACAAATAAAAAAATACAAACGTGCAAAAATGCACAGTTTAGAAAAACAACTCAAGGCCAAATAAACCATCTGGACAAACCTGATGATTAATTCCTGAAACAGATGGCATCACAAACAATACAGAGTGTAGACGTATGAAATAAAGACAACAGTTGGCTGTGTAACCTGTAACAATAGCAGGACTTTGTGTTGCATCACTTTCCTGAATCTTGTTAGTCTGTTGCCTCAGGACCAGACTGCTGCTGGCTGCTGCTGCCCTCTTCTGGACGTCTCGCTGCCTCACCTTCTTGTATGGTTCTGTCCACAGTGCTGGGCTCCTTGGTTTGGGCCTGTGTTGGGCTGCTGGAGCGGCTTCCTGAGTGACTGCGGCTGCCGCTCCGACGGCGGCCATGCTTGCCCTTTCGAGGACTGGGACTGCGGGAGCCCATCTTCATTACGACAGTGCTGTCATCTTCTGAACTGAAGTCAGAGCTGTCTGAAGAACTGCTAGTGCGCTCTAAAGTGGGAAGCTGAATCTGCAGATGAATCAAAAACAAATATAATATGAAGGAGGGATTTTTGAATCCCAGCATTTAATTAATTACCTTAAACTAGAGAAAAAGTGGGCAGCACGGTGGCGCAACTGGTAGAGCTGCTGCCTCTCAGCGAGCAGGTCCTTGGTTCAAACCCCGGTCCAGGGGCCTTTCTGGGTGGAGTTTGCATGTTCTCTCTGTGCATGCGTGGGTTTTGTCCGGGTACTCCGGTTTCCTCCCACAGTCCAAAAACATGCATGTTAGGCTGATTGGTAACTCTAAATTGTCCCTAGGTGTGAGTGAGAGAGAGAATGGTTGTTTGTCTCGTTTGTCTCTGTGTGGCCCTGTGATGGACTTGCGACCCATCCAGGGTGTACCCCGCCCCTCGCACAGTGATTGCTGGACATGGGCACCAGCGACACCCGTGACCCAAAAATGGAATAAGCGGGTAAAGAAAATGGATGGATGGATAGAGAAAAAGTGTTGGGTGACGATTACCTGAAATGGCTCTGTAACACCCACAATGGAGCTCATGTTGTTGCTATAGTAACCCAAGATAAAGTCTCCTGAGCATTTGGGTAATTCCTCCTCTGTAAAGGTTACCTGGAAAACATTTTAAGACATTTATCAAATGTGACAGACACATGAACTTTCAACATGCACCCCGATTACCTGATGTTCCTGTCGATAAAAGTCATTCTCCTCCTGCTTGGCCCACACATAGCCCACATAATCCTTGTAGTGCTTGAAACCCACCTATGCAATGGCAAAATGATAAAAATATATATTTATTATGTCACACTTGCAGGTTGACACAGGCTATTCAAGTGCCATCAGGTGTTTAAGACAAATCACCTTGTACAATCCAATCCAGTCCCAGGAGCTGCGAGAATAGTTGGGCGTCAGTTTGAACACGGTTTTTGCATCTTCAATACTGTTCCACTCATCCTCCACCACAAGAGTGACCAGTGGGATGTTCACCCTGTATGGGAACTGCAAAGAAGAATCAAAACGTAATGGTTAAATGCTGTAAATTGTTCAAAATAACATTAAATGGTAACAGATCCTGAGAATAAAGTTAACAAAAATCTGTTTATTGAGTCAAAAATTATTGGCAAATCGCCCTATGTTTAATCTTATACATTACTGTACACAGCTAAAGGCAAAACAGCAATTATATTTTTGCCATCGTCTGTTTGTGAGTGTGTGTTTGAAAGTCTGTTAACAAAATATCTCATGAACCATCTGTTTATGTACATCACTGGATGTAAATCTACAAATGACTTTTGGAATCAACCCAGTTCAAACTGGCTGCCACAGCTAAGGAAAAATAGGAAACACAAAATGGCTACAACTCATATAATTTTAAAGATTAGAGATATAATTTGGCGTGGTAGTAGCTGAGAGTAATTCATATGGCATACTGAGCTCATTTCTAAACATCTTGCAATATTGAATGAGATCATGCCATTTCCAAGGTTGGACCAAAATGGATTTAACTCTTGTTATTTCTCTGCATCATATCTGAATCTAAAACTCAGGCAGCGGGTGACATGCATCACTTCAAAGAATGCTAGGCCTTAACATTTCTTTTAGATATCACTTCTAAGTAAAAACAGAATTTGATGTAAGCTAAATAGTTTTTCAGCAACTGGAGTTCAGACATATATTTTTATTGTTAGCATCTCTACAAGAAAAAAAAAATCAAAAATATAAGTTTTTCATCTTTATAATGGTTGACACCTGCAGGGTGAAGATGGAGGAGACCGGTTTGTGGTCACTGACGGTGAACTCCATGTGACTCCGGTAGTTGTGCTGGGTCACTTTGATGCCACTGGTGAGCCCTGAAACAGAACCACGCTTCCCCACGTCCTGAGCAGCGGGTGCAGTGGCTCTCTGGCGCCAGAGGATCCGGTCAGTCCAAGCTGGTTTCCGTTTCTTCCCACTGGTGATGTTGCACGAGAGAGAGATGGAACGGAGGAGAGAGAAAAAAATTGAAGCAGAACGAAGAGTAAAAAAGGATCTTCACTCTCCCTTCAGGCTAGCAAAGACCTTTCAGAGAAGAGTGTAATAATTCATACTGTGATCAGTGTCCTAGAAAAGTTAATAGCTCCCTCAGGCATCACCAACCTTGTATCGTATGTATCTGTTCCAACGTCAAACTTGTAGGTAGGAGGGAATTTTAATGGTCCCTCTTGAAATCCCTCCAACACAGTCTCACTGTCTTTAGCCATGTTCAACTGCAAATATTACAAATGGGACAAAATGCTTGTAGTTCCACTGCTCTTACACTAAAAGTCTCTCTATCGCCCTCTAGTGTGGACAAAGAGACAAAAGGTACTGCTAATTTTATAATTTAAGTTTGTGAAATAACTTTATGTAACCATTCTCATTTAAAATACACTTTAATATGAAAAATATTTAAGAATACACCTCAAACGATTTAAAATACTCCAAATTTTTACTCCTGAGAACAATGACAGGGACAAATTCAATCTAGTGATTTTTAAAGAAATTCAGAAGAAATAAAGGTTTTCATCATTTACTGTATTTAAAACACAAAAATATCAAAACCTTTCTTTTCTTACCTGATCTTTCTCCAACAAAACTGATAACTTGTTGTTATCAATGGCTGATTTCACAACTTGCATATCCAGGTCATCAATGCGAAAATTGAGATCCCCAAACCAGAACACTAGGCTGGAAAATCATCCAGAACAAACAAAACAAGAAAAAAAAACTTATTTAAGAATTTTAAACTGCGGTAGTTACTGGTGGAGAAATTATTATTTTTTAAACAGTTAAAATTTTGAAACAGTAAAATAATACATCAGGGCTAATCAACTGGCGGCCCGCGGGCCATTTCCGGCCCACGGGTGGCTTCAATCCAGCCTACTTCATTAAAAAAATTTAAAAAAATAAAAATTTGGGGGGGGTTCTGGGTTCTGTTTATTGTATTTATGATTCAATCAATGCAATAAAATAAACAAATTTAAAAGGAAAGAGATCATTGTGAACTTTGGTTTATTTTTAATTGCTGGATGTCCAGTCCCCGAGCTGTTGGCTTTCACAGAAACTGTGGCCCCCTGAGCAGTTTTGTTGAATAGCCCTGTAATACATGATTATTAAATTTTTGATGTTGTAAAATCTGATTTTATGTGATAGTTAACATCAGTCTGCCAGCAGCCACAAACAGTGAAGGTCATAATTGGTGAGCTCATGAAGATGCTGTGTTAATCCAAATCATAAAAATAAACCCAGCTACTTTGGCTTCTATATTCCCCCATTTTTAAAACTAACCTGCAGTGAGAAAAACAATGCACGTTTGAATAGTTCCTTTCTAATATTTCATTGACAGACACTGCATTTTTGTAAGTGCGGTGCTTCACAATAAAAGATAACTCGTGAATCAAAAGTTCAGAAGTTTAAATGTAAAACTACGGCAGCAGACAGGCTTGTTTCTTGTTAACATCTTTAATTATTGTAATATTAATGAAAACGTATAAATGCAGATTCAACTTTTAATTGAGCAATGTCTGACATTATTTCCTTTAAAATTAACAAACAAGTTTGGAGTTTGTTACACATATATAACCATCTTTTTTCATTTGATGCCTTCCTTTGCAGATTTAGAAAACTACATGTCACAGTGCATACGTGTGCATGTGTATTATGATGTGACTCACTCGTGATCCTGAACCCCGATAGCTGCCTGGCCCTCAAACTGCTGCTGCTGCAGGATGCTCTCAAAGTCCTCCATGCGCTGATCGGAGTTTTCCATGTGAGCCGGCAGGTGGCAGTTGAGGAAGCAGATGCTGTGACCGAACACCGACATGCGGGCGCTAACGCCACCTTTATTCCCCTGCAACGCAGACGAACAGCGAGGTAACTTTACTGTGTGAAGTGCCTTGAGACGACTCCTAATTTGACACAATAAAAACATTTTATAACTGAAGTGACAATGAAATGCATTTGAAAGTGAGACCACAGGATAGTAGCAGGCATGAGAAAGTGTTTGTGTCTGACACTTTCTTGGAATAGAAGTTAAAGGTTTGAGATGATCTTTAGTGACTGTATTTATTAGTCTACAACACAGCCAGATAGGAAGTGGCCTCATTAAAGACTAAACAGTATCAATATTTAATGCAAACAGTCAAGTGCACACCGGGGGTGCAAAATGCGTCAGTGGATTTTCTCCTCTGACTCAATAAAACAATGTTTTGAGTTTAGACTCTGCCCATCTTAATGTTTGCTGAAAGAAATCTATCTAAAAGTTGTTAAAAACCTTAATGATTCAGGCAATCATTATCGTGATTAATTAGCAAAATATCTCTTAAACCAAATGTTTTAGAAACCAATTAATGATTGGACAATCTACAACTGAATGACATTTAGAGTCAAGACAGCTGCCATAGCTAAACAACTTTATAAAACACAAAAATGCTATAATTCATTCCAATATTACAATCATACACAGGTTTATAGTCTGAGTGTGACATCACACGATGAGATTATTCATAATGTTCTTTTCAAAGATTGACCAAAGCAGCTCCAAAACTGTCATTTCTCAACATAAGATGATCTTCGTCTAAAACTCTGGTATGAAAGGCAGTGGGCGATAGGCATTCCTTAAAGCAATGCTATATCTTTTAATTTACATCTGTAATCCCAGGGCAGATAAGCACAAAATAGATACAAACTACAAATACCAATCAAAAACATTCAATGTGCATAAAGTTGTATAAATATTTTCAGTGGGGAGATGTTTAAAAATTAAACCAAACGTCCAAGCACACAATTTGAGCATCCAAACGTAATACTTTACAGTATATTAGGAAAGTATATTACAAAGATGATACTGGGGAAAATAATGACTAATTTCATTTAGAGCTTGATTGTAAAAGTAGTCTGACTGGTTTTAAAGTCATCTGACTTGCTTGAAACCAGAAAACATGCAAATACATCATATTTGCATGTCTGCATATCTAAGGCAATATTATTGTATTCAAACCCACTCTTCATGCTTCCTCACTTAGTGAATCTCTAATGTTTCCTAAACTACTATTTGAGTTTTCAGTACCACCATATTTGGGATCATGCAGCAAACCTTTTTGTCAAAGTTAAAGAGTTAGTGTTAACTGGTCCTAAAATGGGGTGAAATCGGATTTGACTAACAAATTATTAGATCTGATGCACTCTGTCATGTTACATTCAGATTATATTCAGCCTTCAAGGTCAACCACTAGAGAGATGTAGTCCACTTATTTTTCTCCCTCGCTCTGCTGTGTGAAGCTATCATAATACAGTGACCATCTCACCCAGTAACCCCCCAGGCCTGTGCGGGTGGTCTCAGTCTGGACTCCACGGAGGAAAGGCAGATGGAAGTATTTGGCAAAGATGAGCAGTAACAAACCCTGCATTCTCTCTGATGTCACCTGATGGGCAAAGAGGGAAACAAATAAAACCAGAGATAAGAGGAACAACTTTATAAAACTCTAAACTGGAGAGCCACATGTTTCACTTGAACATAAACAAAACTATATAAATGCGAAATATCATGGCCCACATTCTCCTTTGCACTTCCATTGTGTCTTTGGTGCACATCAAAGATGCTACAGTTCCTAGTTTTTGCCCCAGATGTGAGAAATGCTTTTAACATCCAGATTTTTCTTGTGCTACATTATAATATGCAGATTTTGACATTTTTGCTCATCTGGCATGAAATAGGGGCCACGTATATTTTTGTGCTATTAAAAAAAGAGAAGAAATCTGACATTTCACTTTTTGAACACTTTTTAGGTGGAGAATAAATTTTTTATGACATGTCAAACTCATTCCCAGATTAGAATGTCCACCCCTCTTTCATCCTTTATAAAGTTTACGCACCCCCACCTCAGTCTAAAGAAGCACACAACCACACCAAGAGAAAAGCCTTGAAGGCATTAACAGAGGCACACACACCCCCTCCACACACACACGTGATAAACCCTTTTGCCTGCATGCTAACAGCCGAGTCGGAGGACTTTGTTGCATAATGTAACCCACTGAACCATTACGGCAACAGAGTTTATATTCTGATATAAGTGTGAGCATGGTTAATGGTTGTGTATCAAACATGAAACAAGGTATTTGACTGAATAAACTAAGGTCATGGAACAAATCTTGTGAAAAAAGGATGGCATTTCTAAGCTTTTTTTTATTTTTTATATTAGCTACAAAGTTATCTAGGTCCATAAAATAAGTGTGCAAGAGCCAAAGATTACATGCAGGTGTGAATGGCTTCGCTTGTCACTGGTCTGGACCACTTTTATCCATATGTCTTTTGTAGTCTGAACACAATCCATCCTGAGCCTTGATGTTAGATGTCCCACTGAACTGACAAGACCCCACACACACATGGTAGTCTAAATATTAAAAAAAAAAAGTCAAGCTGATTTAAAACAATTAAACATCCATCCATCCATTATTTTTACCCGCTTCTTCCTTTTCGGGTCGCAGGGGTCACTGGTGCCCATATCCAACTATCACTGTGCGAGAGGCAGGGGACACACTGGACAGGTCTCCAGTCCATCACAGGGACACATAGAGACAAATGAGACAAACAAGCATTCACTCTCTCACTCACACCTAGGGACAATTTAGAGTTACCAATCAGTCCAACATGCATGTTTTTGGTCTGTGGGAGGAAACTGGAGTACCTGAAGAAAACTCACACATGCACGGAGAGAACATGCAAACTCCACCCAGAAAGGCCCCCGGGTGGGATTTGAACTGGCGACCTGCTCACATAGAGGTAGCAGCTCTACCAACTGCGCCACTGTTCCACCCGTCAATTAAACAGTCATCCATAAAAAAATTGTTTCTCAAATGTTGTTGATTTTTTGGGGGATGGGGGGGGGGGTCCTAAAAGTTTTAAAGAACTGTTTATCAGATTCATTTTTTATTAAAATTTATTTTTTTTAAAGTGACAATTTTATTAATCCATGTAGATTGCAGGACTTAGTGCGGTGTGTTTCTATTCAGTTTGTTCTGTTTGAGCTGGTTATACTCATTATGGTTACAGCATGCTATATATTGTGCTGTCATTCACAGGACAACAGAGCAGCATCTTATTGATATATTATTAACTAACGAAACCCAAAACTTGTTATACAATATTCCCTGTGAAGCTGTCGAAAACAATTAATGGCCTATTTCATTGCAGCAGGTTTTTACAGGCAAGAATCTTAATTTTTCCTCAGACACTGAGCTCCATGAAGTCACTAATCATTGTATTATAGTTCTCCCATATTGTGTCTGTTAGCCTACATAATTTAGCTGATCAAGATACGTCTCTACACAAATTATACTCAAATGGCTCTGAACTATGTTGATGTCAAATTAATTTAATAATAATAAATTACAAGTGTGAACACTCTCAATCGAGACGGACAAATAGTGACAAGTCTGTGCAGGGCCCAACAAACATGTGTTTGTGCCTCTGCATACAAAAATGCCTAGATGCATCAAATAAAAAGGCTGTGCCATTAAAGAGTATAAATTGTAGCTTACTCAAACAGACATTTTAGTGCCAGTCAGCTGTAATTGTGTGATGAATATCCAGAAAGGAAAAATGTCTTGTAAGCTCAGTTTTGCTGCAGTAAAAGGCTGATTTGACTGGTGCTTGCAGCAGACACAGCTGCAACCTGAAAATTAGTCTTGGTGAGCAAACAGTCTTAAAAGAGGGCAGATACAGGGTGTTTAGTTACTGTACACCACAATGACATGACTAAATAACTTCCTGCTGACATAACAAACAGTCTACCTGCTTACAAGCTTTAGGGGCTCTAATTACACAACATCTGACTTACTGTATAAATATTCACGATGCGTAAAAAGAGAAGTCGTGAAAATGATTTTAGTGAGGTTTAAACCAATCCAGCAGACTACAGCTGGAGGACAGTGTCAGTGTCGCTGTCAGAGGCACATCAACACTGACAGCATGATCCAAAAATAAAGCAGCACCCTGGGAGACATTTGTCCAACACTTGCAGCTCGACAGCTTCTGGCTTACTACGCCAACTGTGCCAAGCTTTGTTTCAGGAGCAGCCAGTGCAACGCCTACTGTACTACAGCTGCAGTGTCTGCTTTAAAAGAAAACATAATAAATGAACAATGCAGCTTTTTTTTTTTTTTTATATAAATCAATGGTCATATTTTAAATGTCTGAAATGACAACAAACCCACTCAGCTACTTATTGCATTAGAATTTCTAGGTATTTGCAGCCCTTAAGACATTAATTGTGCAGCTTGAAAGAAAAGGAGACAGAGTGCTTGACTTTGGACGATCATCCCAGGAGACAGCGGAAGAAAGCAGATACACTGACATTACATGCCTGTTACAAATCATCATCATCCCATCCGTTGCTCGGGGAACAAAATTAGCCTGAACAGCAAGAAGCAGAGATCTCATCAGTGATAATGCAGCATGCACAAATCTTCAGTAAGCCATTTAGCATTTCATTCAGAAGCCGAGCATGTGTATTCACAAAATAAATAAATAAATAAAACATGACTGACCAGCACATAACCAAAGGGGCTTAATCTGTCCATGCAGACCTCGCTCCACTGGTCTGTGAAGAGGACATCTTTCAGTCTTTTGTTGATCATAGAGTTGACCTCCTGCAGCCTTGAAGAGAAGCGACACAAAACGGTCAGCACAAGAGTTCAAAGATGAGCAAATGTGACAACGTTTGAAGAAATTCATTTAGTGAGAGAACATCATAAATTTAAGCCCAGCTCGTCTTTGTTGTGGATGTAGGATGAATTTACACGAACTGTTATGAAATGAGGCGACGTGGCCGCCACTCACCCGATAATGTACATGTCGGTGTTTCCATCTCCCACATTCAGTCCCAGCAGAGACGTGATGTCATCAGGCGGCGTGGCTGAGCCCACGTTCCAGGTGATAATGTGCACCCTGATGAAAGAAACTGTTACATAAACTCCCGCAAACACTTATCTCCTACATGTCACAACTTACGGACAGAGACAGCAGAACCTCTGCACTAAACATCTCACTGAACGTCACAATTTTACTGCCTTTTTTAAATCGCAGTAAGATCACAGGTTTTTACTATTCACTTAAAATAAAGTATGTCATGTTCAGACTATATTTATTATACTGGACAGTGCACAAGATTAAAATATTACACATTTCTGACATTTGTTTGTTAGGTCTTGGGCAAACGGTCTTTCTGCTTTATGCTAATTTAAGCTTGTTCTACCTGTTCAACATGGTTTTTAGCTAATTTCAGCTGTTTTTCAGCAAGTTCTTCAGCAATAAGCATTCACAGCACATTTTCACAGGAAATGCAATTTCTCTATTTGATGTTTATATTTTATAGACAATCTAGAAACTATTTTACTACCAATATATAGCATTTCACAACTTATTGAATCATGGAGTTGAGAATAAATCTAACTTTCAGTCGTGGAAAAAAAAAAATAATAATACGTTACTTAAAACTAAAACCCTGAAAATAAAGTTACACTTTGAAGGTTTAACAATTTTTTTTTAGTCTACATTAAGGATATGTTTAGAAATATTTTGAAACAAAGGACACTTTGACATAGTGATGGAAATTATGTGGATGTTTAATGAATTTGTGCATGGTTGCCATGCCTGCTTTGTGTGGCTGTGAGAAACCAAAGGACCAGGAAACCAACCTGAAGTCTTCCACCGTCTGAGGTTCGGTGTCGGCAGTGCCCGCTACAGAGAGGGCTCTCTGTGCGTGTGGGTTTAGGTGAGGGGGAAGAGGCCTGCTGGAAAGGGGTTGGGGCACCGAGGCGGCCCTCACAGGGTGTGGCGGGTGGTGGCCTGGAACCTTGGGGCTAACTTTACCACTTGGCCTGGCGTGCTCTGCAGGTTTGAGGGATGCGGGGCGAGAGGGCTTGGGGCGGCTTGCTACAGCGCCGTCGGTGGTATCACTCTGGCTAGTTAATGGAGTGGGTTCAGCTTTGAGTTCTGAGATATCTACAGAACCCTCAACTCTGGCGCTTCTCTGTGGCCGCCGAGGCCTGGGGGGGCCTGGAGGCTGGCATGCTGGTGGATCTTGGGCAGGAGTCATTGGGTCGGACGCTGGAACAGTTGTTGAAGCTTCTGCCTCATTGTTTGGGTTTTCCTCTCGTATCTTGCTTTGGTTTGGATTATCTTGGTCCATTTCTGCTAGTTATGACAACAAGAGGGGAGAGGAATGCTTTTATTCACATGATTTACATTTTGTACATTTTACAGGAACTTACTAAACAGAGTATTCTTCACATCTAACTGTATGGACCCTGCAAACAGATATTTGACGCAATAAATAAAGAAAAATGGGCATATAAATCTAGAACATTTAATCTTTACTAAAACATAGGTCTATTCAGTTGATGAGTCGACCCAGCAGGACGTGGCTGTTCAACTAACCACCTTCTCATGGCACTGGAAACAGGTAGACACAGCTGCATGCAATGACTTCAAACAAATGTTATTCAAATCGACAACTAGAAAGCAGGAAGAAATGAGACGAGACATAATCTCAGACTGCCCTAACCTTATTTGGATGACTGTTTGAAGAATACACTTTATCATTGTCTCTTGTTTCGCCTACGCTGCCTGCAGGTCCTCCAGTAACAAACTGATTTTACTCGGTCAGTTCACATTTGCTCTAACTTGTGTCACACACACCAACATGAAGAACCACTTGCATGGTCCAGAGTGAAAGAAACGGCGTGAAATAAACCAAGAAAATAGCTGCCGGGAGATCCAACAGACAGAGAAGAGGAGTACGGAAAAGGAGGAGGAATTTAAACTGGATAATTTGAGCATAATCCAGTTATTAAAATTAATGTGTTGTTGAGTTTTCCTATTGACTGATATAAGAAAATAAGTGTTATGTGATGTGAAATAATCTCAGCTACTGATGACATTTTAACTCAATATTTGTAAGATAACTCCGCCATTTTAGTGTTTTAAAAGATGAGTTGGCTGTGGCAGCCATTTTAAATTGGGTTAGCTCCAGAAGCTCATCAGTTGTATAGATAATCACAATTTATTGAAAGCTTGGTCAAATCCATCCAATAGTTTAGGAGGTATTTTGCTAACAGACAGATACACATACACAAGTAAAAACTCTATAGTCTGCTTTTACCTTTTAAAAGAGATAATTGACAAACTATGGATGTTAAATCCCCTAAACAAACAATAAATATTTATTTGCGGTTGCACACAATCCACTGTACATGTGGGGATAAAAAGAGATTTAAGCATTAAAAACAAATCAGTTTGACCTCAATCTATCAGTCAGTAATTGTTACTCTGTAAAAATGGAGCAGAAATGTCAGTGTTGGACTTTTGGGGAGGAACCTTTAGTTAGCAAATTATTGCAATAAAAGAAGCTGCATTCTCCACATGGCTGGATTTGCACCGTGTGCATTAGGCACAAAGTTTGAATCAGTAAGCACAGACTGGCTCCTGCTCGGGGACGCAGAAACAACACAGCTCCCTTATGATTATTCACACGACCTTGGCCTCGACTTTCATGCTGTGCTGCGAGCCGCCTCCGTGTTTCACATGTGCCCAGAAACGAGCTCAGTCCACCAATAATCTGGCAACCGACTGAGCTCCCCGTTTTACCGAGGCCCTTCTTCAGCACCAAGCGGGAAGGGTTGTGAGAGGAGGGTTAAGTGGGCACACGTGGATGTGGGTGGGTGCAAAACGAGCTGAAGGAGCAGGAGGGCGAGCAATTCAAGACAGCTCCTTGTCGTTTTGTTGAATGTCACTAAATTGATCCAAACGCATTTCCCTCTGGCAGTGAAGCTGAGTTTTAATTCTTCTTTGCTGACTCGCCGATCACCTCGTTTCTCTAATCCTTCCTCTCTCCATTTTTTCCCCCAGACATGCAGCTTCATCTCAGCCACCTTCACAGCATGAAATCACCCATAAGTGGAGCAGTGAGCAACATTTTTCATTTCACCTCCTTTAGTTCTTGACTAAAAATCTTCCTCTTCCCAATCCTGGACTCTGAGGCAACTCTAAAGCTCCATATTGTCCTCCTCAGCCAACCTCCTCACTATCAGTTACATCAACATGCCACAGTCACAACATCCACCATTACAACAAAAGTCTTTAGAGCTGAAAGAGCATGAGCCAAGATGAGCTTTTAGAAGGCAATTAATGTGGATCACCACTCATTTATCCCCTCAAATAGAGGAGAGTGATAATAAATGTGTCAGTGTTTAACTTGCTCCTTCCTGAGCGTCTGAGCTGACAGCCAGGAAGCATGTGGTGTAAACCCAAACTGCAGGCTCCAGCCAGCTGGTGGAGTTAACTGACAACACACATAGGTTTAGATGGCTGAGTCATACAAATGGTGAGAAGCCAGTTTTGCTTTAGTAATCGGGGGTAAAAATCAATTATCTGCTTCTTCACGCTGAGTGAAACGTTTAATCTAAAGTTGCTCGTTCTGCACGGCTGCACTGGGCCCTTTGGTGTCTAATGTGAGGATTACAGCCAAAGCAGAGTGTCGGTGATGAAGGCCTACGGAGCCATATGCTCCAGTGACAGGGATACTAATGATGACCCGGACATAAACAACATCAGCAGCTGCCACCACAGCTGGAAATGGCTCTTCCAGGTCCTAAAGCCACGGAGCATCACTGCCCTGTATCTAGGGGGCTTCATTTTTCTGATCAGGTCATAGTCAGGGCTGTGGGATGTCAAAATTATTTTGTTGACAGTGTTAACACTTGGGAGAGCTGTGGACAACAAAGAACCAAAACAAAATATTGTAGAATTCGAGTTTTAAATGTGTCTTATCAAAATAGTTAGAAATATTGTGCAGACACTGGATGGTAAAAACACATTATTGTAGCCAAATAAATAATCATGCGTCACCAACTGATTTAGATAATCTTGTTACGAAATCAACTTCAATGATTAAAGCTAATTGGGGCGGGAAATGTTTAGGCTAATGTCTTCGTGTGCGTGTAAAATTAGAACAGAGAGAAGTTGGTTCATTGGCCACACTTCCTTCCTGCAGCAGTAGCTTCACGGTACAGTGGCTGCTGGAAACTTGAACAACAATAACGGTTGCATTAGAAATCACATGCACTGTTTTGGACTCGAGCATTGCCACAGGTGACTATGCTGCAAATACAATTTTCTGCCAGTGCACGTTTTCGCTTTATAGCAATGATGTAGGACATAAAGTCAAATTATTATCTGAAACAGTTCCTCACTTACAGTAAAAATGCAAATGCTCTTGTCAAACAGACATTTTGCAGGATATGAAAAACCATCCTTACTTTGCACACAATATATTTGACACATCCTTTAAAACATGACGGATTTAAAGAAAGAGGGCAGCAGTGAGTGTTTGTCCCCAATAACACGACTACAATGAGGACCTAAAAGCATGAAGGTCATTTAAATAGAGCTGTTTTGCATTTAATATAATCTTTGCAGATGGGTGCCAGTGTGCGTGCACATCTGTCATTGATGAGGGATGATCAGACAGCTCCTGTGCATGAATCATCAGCATGATTTCTCTTGATGTAAATAGTGTAAGAAAGGTGGAACTGACAGGGTCATTTTTCCTAATTGACATTGATTCTATTTTGGCAACAAAAAATATCTCGTCGTGTTAAGATATTTAAGGCAAGACAAGCTAATTTAACGATTGTAGTGAGGAAATAATACAACTGCCTAAATTGTTCCAGTTTGAGTTTTAACGCATGCGCGGTGCTGATTAATCAACACCTTTACCTGTTGTGGTTCTTCTGACGAAAGGGAAGAGACGGGATCGTGCACAGGTCGCTGTGTTCCTGGAAAATGTACAAGATTCACTCTCTGTTACACGAAAACTGAGTGAACTTTAATTTCCTGCCGCCTCCAGGGAACCATCGCCTTGCTTCCCTCCTTCCTTCCCTCTCTCTTCTTCAGCGGATGTATTTGGTGAGGAGGTGCGGACGGGTTTGGAGCGATGCGGATGAGAGGTTTGTGAGAGGCGGACTCTCAGAAACACTCGCCGCTGTCTCTTGGCGGTGCTGAACACACTGTCTGCCCTGACATGCCCTTCAAAATAACACAAGACGTCCGAGAAGAGGCGGGAGGGAGCGGGGCGCTTCCGTGAACGAGCAGCCCCCGCTCGCGCTGCTGGGTTGATGATTACCGCTCACAGAACTACGGCAGGTAGACAGGACTCACCGTGCCCACACAAACGTTATGTCTTCGAGCGCGCGAACAACCCCCTCCTGCAACTATAACGGCTCGCGCACCGATTCGTCACTGGTTTCCATGAGAACGTATTGAAGTGTTTAGTTTGTGTTCAGTAGGACACTACTGCCACCTAGTGGTGGGAAACTTAAAAGGGCGTGATCATCTTTACATATACAGAGCTGACATCAATTTTTCGAATTACTGTAAATATAAATACATTTTTGGAAAGATAACTTTTTTTATTTATTTTTTTTAACACAGCTGAAATGAACAGTTGGCATACAAACAGTAATGACAAAAAGGGGAATGCCTGCATGTGAATAATCTGTTACCTGTGCAATAACCTGTTACACAACCTGTGCAGTATATGTTAATTATGTGCAACATGTGCATTTAAGCTTTTTTCATTCATTCAACCTTTATTTAGACAGGTAAATCCCATTGAGCCTCGAAGACTCATTTACAAGAGAGACCTGATTTCAACAAAGAATGATGACAACAATGGACAACAGCGACAACAATAAACAGTTATAAAATGTCATACTCCAGTTTTTTCTTTTTTTTTTTTAAACAAATAGGATGGCTAAAAGAAAAAAGGTAACAAAAAAACAGCTAGATTCTAAGGCAAATGTAAAAAAACCTAAAACCAGGAACATGTCTGCATTGGTCCCTGCCAGGAGTCCAACAGATTCTTAAAGCCACTTAGAGAGGTCAAGGTCGAGAGCTTCAAATCTTTTTGTAAGATATTCCAGGAAACAGGAGAGGAGTAGGAGAAGGTCCTCTTGCCTAGTTTAGTCCTCATTGAGGGAACCCTGCAGGTAATAATGTCCTGAGAGCGCACGCTGTAGCTGCACTCACGCAGAGACATGTAGGAGGAGATGTATGAAGGCAGCAGACCAAGAAGTGATTTAAAGATGAAAATATACCAGTGAGAGAGTCTGCGTGAAGTTAATGGTGTCCAGTTAACCAGTGAATACAGGTGCAGTGGTGGGTACGATAATCACAGCCAGTTATGAATCTTAGTGCACCATGATAGACAGCATCCAACATCTGCAGGGTGCTTGTAGGAGCGTTCATGTAAATAATGTCACTGTAATCAATGGAGGGAAGGAAAGTCACAGATAAGCTTATATGTGAAATACTTATTTATACAAATTCATCCTACTTGCACTGTTATATTCTACCATGTTGTTGCTTACAATTTTTCTTTTTTTAAAAAATACTTTATTTATATTTTTTCAGAGTTAAACAACTAAGGAAAACACACACACATAACAAAAAAATAATTAAAATAAAATTAAATTAAATAAAAAAAAAACATGACCAAACAGTTGCAGAACAGTGTCAGCCTGCTGGTGAAAAAGGATAAAAATGTACACATCAGCCTAATATGTGTAATCAAGCACTGTACAGGACAAAGTGGAATGGAACGACCTACAGTTCATTAAACAATCTGTTTAAAATATATATATATTGTATATAAAAAAGAGCATCAATAAAACATGAAAGAAAAAGAAATTATGATAATAACAAAAAAACAAAACAAGTTAAAAACAGATCCAAATGATCAGCATAATCATTTTAAACCAGTCATTTGTATATATGTACTGAACAGACCCCACACCTCATGGAACTTATGATGGTTGTCTGACAAAGAGTATCGAATCTCTTCAAGATAAATACAAGACACCATATCATTAAGCCATTTTTTTTAAACAAGGAGGGGTAGAGGATTTCCATTCCCTCAAAATAACCCATTTTGCAACCACCAAACCAAACATAAGAACCTGCTGAAGAAACATGGGAAGAGTAAGAGAAAATTTAGAGCAACCCAAAATTATCAAATGCTTATCAGGGGTCAGGTGTCTGCCATAAACTTTACTATAAAACTGAAATATCTTGCACCAGAAGTCCATAAGTTTAGGTTAGAAGATGGGGTCAAACTGAAAAGACTGACAAATTGGGAAATTAACTGTTTAGAAGTAGGGGGCTTTTTATAATCTCATAGAAGCTGGGCTGCTCAGGTAGTGTTTCAAAGTGGGGGTGTGCTGTCTGACAAAATTACGAACTTGAAAGAATCTGAAAAAGTGGCTAGGAGGGAGAGCAAATTTTGAATGGAGTTGCGTGAACGAGGCAAAATGATTACTAATGTATAGGTCCTTAATAAGAGCGCTTACAATTTTTCTTAAGTACTTTGTAAATATTATATTTATTTTGTACCCTTATTGGATGCTTTAGTATTTCGTGTTTGTGTTTTTAGCTAGTTGAATTCGTTCTTCTCATCTTGAACATTTCATTGCACTGTTGACCTTGTGTTAACCAGCATATGACAAATAAACAACATAACATGTGAACAGGGCGTTGAAACAATGGCCAACAACACAGATGGTGGTGAAGAATCTTTTATCACAAAAGATATGTTGAACAGAAAAATCCCAGGGACAAAACAGTTCCAAGCATCTCATCTCACATCTTTTGACCTTGTAGGTTTAGGATTGGAGCAGTGGCTTTGCTCTCTTGTCTGCCGAAACCCCCTCTCTTTTTATTATTATTATTTTTTCATTCAATCTTTATTTAGACAGGTAAATCCCATTGCAATAATTAATAATAATAATTATTATTATTATTATTATGCACCAAATTGTCAGCAGAAAAGTTAATTTTTATCAATTTATTACAAACCATGCTTAGAGCCAGAAAATCCCAGAAATTAGACATTTCCAAGTAATAGAAATGTCTAGCTTAAGGTTGTAAAACAATTCCTTTTGAACAATGACAAAACTAAGTCTTTGCTGGAAGGCTGATTAACTTGGAGGGTGCAGCATGACCTAACCTAATAATGTATAACATATAATCCACACATGTCAGTTATGTTTCACTTAACCAAGTCCATCACAGAATCAAAATTTTAAAACAATCGGATCATGAAAAAGAAGTATATTAAATAATTTTGCCACATTTCTGATATAAAACATGATCAGTACAATTACACTGTCAGAAACCTGGGTGTGATATCTGACAGCGTACTGGAAGGAATTAAAATTAACAGAAAAGTGCAATTGTTAATTAAATCCAACTTTATCTAACCTATAGCTAGAGTGAAGCTATATCCATCCATCCATCCATTATCTTTACTCGTTTCTTCCTTTCAGGGTCATGGGGGTCACTGGTGCCCATATCCAGCAGTCATTATCGAGAGGCGGGGGACACCCTGGACAGGTCACAAGTCCATCACAGGGACACATAGAGACAAACGAGACAAGGAAATTGAAGCTAACTCTGTATAAAACCTGTAGAAAGTTATTCATACTTTTGCCATTTCCTCATGTTCTGATTGTTACAAAGAAGTGAGAACACATAACCATAGTCATGACATCACTTAATTTGCTTCCTGTCTAGTTTTGAATTTATTTAAACTTTTATACCCTTTAAAGCTATAGGTGGTCTTACCTGAATGAATTTAACTGCTTTTAACTTCTACTCTGCAAGGAGGATCCAAGATACAGGTTAAAATCTAAAGGAGATCAAGTTTTTTCAGTGGCTGCTCCACATTCATGAAACAGTGCTACATTCACAGCTTAGACTATTGAGACAGACTATTAAATACTTGCTTCAGACATATCATTTTATTTTGGCTTTTGATTCAAACAAAACACTATTTATGTACTTTTACACCTTTATGTATTTTATTGTCTTTTATTCTTATTTTTATTGGATTTTTATATTATATTTGGTTGTATTATCAGTTTTCACTGTAAAGCACATCGGCCAGCCCCAGTTGTTTTAAATGAGATCTTATTGTTCCATATTTTCCCAACAGAGCACTTCGCTCTCAGACTGCAGGTTTACTCGCAGGCCCTAGAGTTTCCAACAGCAGAATGGGAGGAAGATCTTTTAGTTATCAGGCTCCTCTCTTGTGGAACCAACTTATGCTTCCTTAAGCTTAGACTACTAGAGGACAAATTGACCTCATTTCCTTAAATGATTTGTTAAAATTGAATAGTTTTCATTTGATAATATTTCTATCTTAACATTTGATTCTTGACCTGCCATTGTGTTTCTGTTCCTACCAAACCCAGCCGGTCGAAGCAGAGGAGTCCTGAGCCTGGTTCTGCTAAAGTTTTCTTCCTCATGAGGGAGTTTTTCCTTTCCACTGTCGCCTTCGTGCTTGCTCAAGATGAGAGTTCTGTGATGGAGTTAAAACTCAAAGCAGTCAGCTCCTAAATAGCGTTAAATTATCATTTTTGTATATGAATGTTTCTGTTCAGTGTCCTGAGATGACTTCTGTTGTGACTTGGTGCTATAAAAATTAACTGGATTGAATTTAACTAATCAGGTCCCTCTTGTAAATGAGTCCCCGGGGCTCAATGGGATTAACCTGTCTAAATAAAGGTTGAATGAATGAATTGAATATAAATAAAACTGACATTGACATAATGACGACTTGAACAGGTTAATGAGTGTCAGTCTTAACTTCTCAAGGATGAAACGTTTAACCTGAGATTTACTAGGGAAAAAAAGGAGTGCCTATCATTATCACCACACTGTCCAAAACACAGTGGTCATTCAGTAATATTAAGATTTATTTATTCTTTAAGGTTTCTGTTTTCTATATATAACATTGCTAACATCTGGGTTTATGTTTAAAAAAAAAAGCTTTGTAATTAGATTCGAGCATGTGAGGAAAAATATATGTTAACATGCAAAACAGAGTAATAATTTATGACGGAGAAACCCCACACAGCCAATCAGATTGCTGACCGCGCCCCACGCAGCCAATTAGATTGTTGACCACGCCCCCTACACTTCTCCAAGGAAAATATTTGACGTGGCATGAAGTCCGGACGTGACGCAGCTGCTGCACCTCCCTCCAGTTATTCCTCACATCTCAGCAGGTACCGGTGTCTGCTGGTTAACAAAAATGTGGGTGATCGTGTTGTTGGTCAGCCTGTTCCAGTTCAGTTCGGCCTATGATGTGGACCCGGAAAAACTGGAGGGGCTGGCGAGGGCGAAGGTGGAGGTAGGTGAAGCTTTCTTTTCTTCATCGTCCTGCTTCCAGATGACTTCATCACAGGATGGTTTTTATAAAGAGACTTGGGTCAGTTTTCGGTGAGTCTGGTTGAAAATATATGAATGGATGCTCTAATAATAATTTGCGCATGCGTGAATGACAACAGCTGTAGTAAACTAAAGGGATGGGCATTAATGTAAAGTAATCAAGAACATTGATCCCCACAAATAATGATCGCCCGCCAACAGGCGATCATGTTGATGTCTGTGTGCACGTGTTTATGTCTGTTAGCCAAATTTCTCATGACCCAGTGGACAGATTTTATTAAAACTCAGAAAACAATCACTGCATGCCCATTCAATTGAATCACTTTTGCACTCAACCCTCTTCAAGATGGCAGCCACAGTTAAACGACCTTAACAAGCAAAAATAATAAAAATAAAATAAATAATATAGCAAGTTTTACAGATTTTGTAATAAAATTTGGTGTTGTGCTGGGCATTATCTCAACACACTTTTCCAACAACACTTTTGCTTAAAACTTTGACAATTACTGTTTGACCTCGTCTTACTGTTAGCAAAATATTTCCTGAACCACTGAACAGATTTTTTTTTTTTTAAATCACAGGATGCATGTCTACATCTATAACTTAACATTTTGTCACCCTAATTCAAGATGGCCAACCCAGCCAGTCGACACCAGCCAACACATAAATGGCTGTACTGTAACCTCATTTTGCAGCCATGGAGCCTAATTTATTTTCAACACATTGAGAGCTGTGTCACATCTTGAAGATCTCACGATGAGACTGTGCTCAACATCTTTCACAAGGTTTTATCAAATAGACTTTTCTAACTGGTGTTTGGTAGGAGGGTGTGGGGTATGGGTCCTCGGGCTGTGTAAGTTACACTCCTGCACTGTGAGAAACCAAATATATTTACTCCAGAGTGTCACTCTATGAGTCTATGACCAAGTTCAGCAGCTCTGACAAAAGACACCATTTGATGCTGCATTAGTCACACCTTATACCTGGGGCTCACATATCTGGAATAAAGGTCTGACATTCCTCCCAAAGGGCCCAACTGAATCTGTGCTTTGTGCAAAAGGTGTAAGGTAAGCGACACCAGACCCTGGCTGAGAGGTTGCACTGAAGAATGGTTTTATCTAGACTTTACAAAGGAAGAAGCAGGTGCTGCAAACACGGATCACTGTGGAGTTTTGCTTTACAGTTGTTTTTGTAGTAATTTCTCCTGATATCGTTTCCTTGCAGTCTTGTGGTGGATGACAGCTGAACAGACTCAGAGAGGTAAGTCACCCTGCTATCTAGTCTTCTGGGACAAACAAAAGATCCATTGTCAAAGTCAGACTAAAGGCCAAGCCCTGCCTAAAAAAACTGCTCATGTCTAAAAATCATTTTGAAATTTAAACCCGGTGCTTCCCATAATGTACAGTAAATGTTGCTGAAAGCTCAAACTTTAAAACGTTAATGTTTGTTTGCAGGTCAAAGCCTTCGTGGTCCAGGATATTCCTCTTTAGTATCCTTTGATTGGAGTCCGACAATGACTTTACAGTCCTGCTCCTATACAATTCCTTGACCGTCACAACCTCAGCCATAACCTGGTGATGAAGCACATTCCTGGAGCTGACCCTGAGCTTGTCCTCCTGAACCATTACTATGAAGAACTAGATGTAAGTGCTGCGCTCATTCATTATGGGCCGCCCCTGGAGGACGATTATATTTTTGTCTGTATGTCTCTGTGTCTCACAGACTACAGGGAGTTTACGTTCAGAAAGCAATAGTTTAATGTACAGCTACAACTGATTAAGTTTTGGAGGTGATCCAACTCAAGAACTCTGCAGCCAACTGAACTTAAAAACACAAAGATGGCTTCAACTCAGTCAGTTTTACACATAGAGCTAAATTTGATATAGATGAAGCTGAGCACAATATCTCATTATCACATGCATAATATGAGGTGTTACACCGTCATGACAATGTATAATGTTGTTTTCAAGGTTCATTGTCCCAAAACAGCTACAACTCTGTCATTTCTTAACTCAAGTTGATCTTAGTCTAAAAATCTGGCATGAAAGGTCAATGCATTACTTTAAGGAATGCTAGGCCTTTAAATTGTACCTCATTGCTTGTTTCGTTCATGAATATAATAGTGTTGTACTCTAGACTGCATTTTACTGCCATCGAGTTAAAAAAGTCATATCAGCAAATGCAAGTTGATTTCCCAAATTTCAACAATTATATTTTATACTTAAAGTGGTAAATAATAGGTCATGGGTTAAATATTATCTAGAACTAACCTTGTCTTTTTTGCAGTTTGCCGCAATCTGCGACAAAGAATAAAATGGGCATCATTACATATCTTAAAAATTGTGCAACTTCAAACCAAAGTTTCAGTAGAGATCAAAACTGTAAATACACGTCATGTAAAGATTTCCATAAGGCATTGTGGGAATTTGTGTATGACGTTAAATAATCTTAACCTTTCTGTTGGTTATATATAAAACATAAAAATGTATAGAAGGGGCATAGATTTTTAACAAAGCATCTAACATTTCATGTACTGGCCATCCCAGCTTTGTCCTTCTTCTGTTATCTTCTTTGTACCCATCAGTAGAAATGGAGCAAATTAAGGATGATCGGGGTTCACTTTAACACATACCGCTCTGATAAGAACAAGAACATGCTGCTTAAAGTCTCGGTCTCTCTTCACAGCGCATCGCTCTGACGGACATGACCCGCTCTGAAATTAATGAGCTGCTGAGGAAACTGGGTTTCTACAAGAAAGCTCAACCAGATGATGAGGTCCCGGAGGAGTTTCGCTTCTCTCCGGCCAAAGACAGCCCTTTTAAAGACGAGCCCACTTCCAAACCCTCCATTTCAGACGCAGCGAACACCTCCGAGCCCGAGGCAGAAGTCCAACACACTGACCTATAACCTTCAAGGATGGATAAAAATGAAGTTTGACCCACAACCAGCTGACCATTACTGCTGCTGATATTTGCTCGTGGAAAAAGAGGGACATTTCAATCTTCTTCAAAGTCCGTTCATGACTTGAACACATTTTCATTCTACTGTCGCTTTTTGCCACAACCATTTTTAGTGTTTTTCTACTGCAGAGACTTGGTGTCGTATTTTGTTCTTGTTCCTTCATGCGTAGGCTGTCGGTGTCGTCACCATGTTTGAGTTATTTTGTGTGTCTGATTGCTCCTCCTGCTGTGAAACTGAATGAAGCCTCAGGCTAAAAATCTCCTGACTGGCCTGAGGCTGATGTTACTTGTTCTGGTGGGTCAGACAGATGTGCACACAGAAACTCAAATGGGAAACTTGAATAATAAAATTTTAACAAACCACTAACCCCTGCTGTGTTTAATGTTGCAAGATGTTGACAGTGAAGCGTGAATTAGACTAATAATTGACTTACTACTACATTCTGATAGTCATATTAATGGGTGATTTCAATATTCATGTAATGTTGAAAGTGATAGCTTAATAGTCAATTGGTTTTACCCACAACGTCCAAACACCTTGTTCTCATCATCACACTCTTGACCTGGTTCTGACTTATGGCATCAAGATTAATAACTTAGTAATATTTCCTCAAAGTCCTGTTGTGTATGACCATTTTTTAATTACCTTTGAGTTCACATTAAATGACTACAGTCACAGAGTAAATTTCATCTTAGCAGGTGCTCATCAGACAATGCTGTAACCAAATTTAAAGATTCTCTTCCATCGTTTTCCGCTGTGTTACAGAGTAATACATCAGAGAACAGTGACTTAGATCATCTAGTTGATAATTTTTCAACTACTTCGCAAACTTCCCTTGTTAAAGCTGCTCTGCTGAAAAAGAAAGTAATCAGAGATTAGCTCCTTGGTTCAATTCTGAGTTACGTACTTTAAAACAGACATCTAGAAAGAAAATGGCACTCCACTAACGTTGAGGATTCTTACTTATCCTGGAGAGATAGCCTGCTAACATATGAAAAAGCACTCCGTAAAGCTAGAACTTTACATTATTCATCTTTTTCTACCTGGATTATTGAGCATGCATCAGGATATTATTCATCTTTAATTGATGAGAATAAAAATAATCCCAGGTTCCTTTTCAGTACCATAGCTACTCTAATGAAAAATCATATCTCTGTTGATTCATGTATCCCTACAACTATAAGCAGTGATGACTTCATGAGATTCTTTATAAATAAAATTGTTTAAATTAGGGAAAAAAATGCAAATCAACAATCCTAGTATCACCTCTGGTTCAATCAATAATCATCCTCAAACACGTCCATTTCTCAAACTGGTTTAATTCATCATATTCGGCTGTGGTGCACAGAAAACCTGCAATACATGTTTAAGCTCTTATATATACACACAAACACACACTGCTTTGTGGAAGGTCATGTTTTCAGTTGCAAGCAGTTTGAGTAACTTTAAAATAAATTCCCATGTCTACAAAAAAAAAAAGTGTACTCAGAAACAGGTTTAAGAATAATTCAAACAAAAATTTCAAACATCTCAAATGGAACAATTTTTACAAATGAAATAAAATATTCTGTTTTTTCTTGTGGCTACATGATAAATGAACCATTTCTGTTATGATTAATCACACCCAAACTAAAATCTGTTTAACGTACTTGAACTAGCCGTTTAAAAAAAAAAAAGCCTACATCAAAATATTCTTAAAATAATCTACTCGTCTACAAATAAGAGGCCTTCTAGCCTGTGGAAGTGAGGGGCAGTGACTGAATGAATTGTCAATTTGCAGATGCATTATATTTTAAACATGCATCCCAAATCATTTACAGTCCAGAACCAGCTAACATCAAATAAAGACTGCTGGTCAGACGCTGACTCCCTCCTGGGTTAACTGAACGGTTTTATTTTTTTTCTTACAAACAACAGCAACATGTTTTCAGTAGCTCAGTAAGGTTAGATTATCAAGCGCCTGACTACAGTGACAGTGTAAATTCTTAAATAATGAAGGAACAATATTATCCCTGTGCTCCTGCCTCTTTTTGAGTAAACATGAAAAGCAACAACTTAATTAGAATATCTCAAAGAACCAGCGTTCATTTAAAATGGGTTTTAAAAAGAGTACCAGACTAAAAAGCAAATCATGTTTTTTGAGTAAATGTTTCTTCTTTCAGTGGAATTACCAACAAGAAGTGCCAACACTTTTGAAAGACTCCAAAAAAAAAAAAAAAAAAAATCAATATAATTACTTTCAAATGGGCAATATAAACAAAGTTCTCTCTCTCTCTTTTTTTTTTTTTTTTTGGGGGGGGGGGGTAAATGCAGGTAAATGACAACTACTGCATGTTTGGGTCAGTACGAAGCTAAAACAAAACGAAATATAAAAAACATCTAGGTTTTAAGCTGTAGACGTCCTCTTACTGTTGAAGAGGTAGACTTTGTGTCGGAAAAGGTTAAATCCAAACAAACAAAAATGCTACCAACATATATATTCAGCACAAGGACACACAAACAGTCCCCAAGTCTGAGCAACTCTTTGAGCCAGCCTCTCAGGAGGCTTTAGCTGACGAGAGGAAGACGGCGAAGCCACATCCAGTCAGAACAAACACTGTCCGCAGGTCAGAGGTCACAGGGGCGGCCCATTGCCATCTCATATCGGCGCAGGTGGTTAACCAGAGACTGAACGTAGGTGAAAACACATTTAGAGTCTGGTTTATTGCCCATGATCATCATGTCCTCCACTTCCAGCAGAGGCATGCAGTTCACGTGGGTCCTGGGGGAGAAGGTAAACAGGACAGGGTGAACAAACGGTCGTGACACACGATGAGAAAAGAAGATACATTTCCAAATAATCATGTATTCATTGTGATTTTTCATAATCAAGCCTTCGTCAAGTAGTATTTTAGTGGTAACTAAAAATAATAAAGTCAAATACTGTGTCGAAATCTTCTGTGCGGCCTGCGTTTACTTTTTTCATTCCAAGGAGCCATACTGTCTTGTAACCTTTTAAAGTGGCCTTGATCAAGAGTTTTTCTGGCTTTCTGAAGAGCTTTTACCATCTTTCACTGGACTTTGGATTCTTTTTCCACTTGTTTCAGTCCAGTTCCTCACCATTTTCAGAGGAATAAGTTTGTCAAACCAATTCGGTCTGACCTACGAATCATGAAAGCATAAAAAAAAATCCTAAACTCAAAGGAGTGAACCAGTGTTGTCAACAGGTAACAGAAAACTTTAATTAAACTGTTTCCGTAGTTTCTCTAATGTCACAGTTAACATTGTTTAATCGTTTTTTTCAACTTACTGTTTTTTTTCTACTGATGTTTTATGCTGTTCTTTTGTTTCTCGCCGCACTGTCATGTCCGGTTTTGCTTTGATCTGGTGTAAAGCACTTGGTGGCACCCACCATGAAAAGTGCTTCATCATTAAAGTGTGATCTGGTGATTTGATTCTTTTGTTCCTTTCATAATTTTGAAGCATAAAATGCACAATATGTTGTTATGGAAAGGAACAAGGACAGGACAGAACATAGGGATAAAAGCCAAAAAAGTCTAAAATAAGCTTTGAAAGACCGTCAGAAATACGGAAGAATTATTGATTAAGACCATTTGAAAACATTACAAGAACCACTGGCTTCTCTGAAGCAAAATATAACAAATAAATTAAGTTTAAAACATTCACAGTATTGTAGTTTAGGAATAAAAACCTGATGTATATTAATCCTCATCGTGTCTCTTCTGCAGTCTATTTATTTATGAATGTATAAAAACTTTTCAATAAGCTTGCAGCTATGCAGTTAATGACCACATGGTGGCATCATCTCCACACAGCAAACCTTCTGACTCATGAAGTAAATCCAGAGGGCAAACTCTATTGTGAAAAAAAAAATTGTCAGCAGCATGAAAAATGTTTAGTCATTTATGGAGCTACACAGAACAGTCATTCTATACTTAAGCACCTTTAAAAGGCTTTACAAGCTAAGAGCATAAACAGCTGTAATCTCACACTTGATCAGAGGACTGCGGACAACAAATCAGATCCCCTCTCTGCTTTGTTTCTTAACTCGCTCTGTTTGAAACGCTGTGATCCAGCAGCTCCTTTTAAAGCGCTGAGCTGCAGATGGTTCTGGCTCTTTGCCTGGTTAAAGGCAGAGATGCACAAACTTACATATATATAACTATATATAAACCATGTTTGGTGCTCTGGACGTCTGAAGCTTCAGATTAACGTGAAAGAGCAAAAGTTTAAAAGCGGCCACTGAAGGAGTTATCTACGCTACATGTTGGAGATGACATCTTCATTCTCCGTAATTCTGTCAGATCCAATGTGAGGTTCCCTCAGAAACCTTGTTCCCCTGTCTCACCATGGATTTTGTATTAGGTGGGGCGCAACTCTAGGAGTTTTTGGTTTTAACCAGGCCCTTCGTCACCAGACCCCTGTAGAACTCCTGCAGGTACGTGTACACACACTTCCAGTCCGGCTCACGCAGCTTCACCATGTCGTCCACATCCAGCAGCTGAGGACAGTCCACTAGTTTCCTGTGCCCATGATGGAAGGGGAGTGCAGAATGGGGAGAGGAACAAAAGGAAGATCCACAAGCAGAGAAAGAGTGAAGATATGACAGGAAAGACAGAGGACAGAAGAGCAGAGGGAATAGGATAAAAAGTGTGAAGGAAAAAAAAAAGAGCAAGAAGGAGGGAAAGAAAAGTATACACAGTCGTGAGCAGCCAACAACAAAAAAACATCCAGTGAGAGAGAACAGACACAAAAAGAGCAACAAAAACAAGAAACATTACATTCAGTGTTCATAATAATATCCATGAGCTGACATGCTTCATGAACATCACAACACACACAATCTGTGGGGTACACACACAGGACAAAACAAAACGTCAAATGAGCATCAAGTGATGCTGATTCAACCTTTTTGTTCGTTGTTGTTTTCACAGAGGACTAACTTTCAATCACAAAACTATAATTTCAAATACACATCGAGGTAAAAAACAACAATTCCACAATTAAAAGACATAGAAATAAAATCCTGGGGTGACTCAAAGAACACACGTGTGCACAGGATGATGCGTGTTCGGGTGGGTTCGGAGAATCTACAGTGCTTGGGGAAGACAGTGATGATGCAAAACAACAAGTGGACAGTTTGGTGACAGGTCTCAACTACAGTATCTCCATCAGTTTGGAGGCTGTCCTAATCCAAGCGCGTGAAAGCACACACCAAAATAAATAATGCTGTGATGCAAGGAAAAATGAGAAGAGGATATGAAAGGAGAAAGATGGGGCCTAAAATGTTCATAAGGTTTTGTTGCTCTCACTGCTCCGGCTGAGAGCAGACAAAGGCGTTGGATGTGTTGTGTATGTCAGAGAACAGAGGACATTTAAAAAGTTACTAACTTACTGAGTGTTTAATCTACCTGAGGGGCTCTGGGAAAGTTAACACTGAGGAACCTGTTGGGAAGACTTCAGTAGATGTTGGCAGAGAGAACAGGAGCAGGATAGAGAAACATTGGGAATGTTTTAACCAGGGCCTGTGTGTCAAATTTTATTAGAGTTGTATTTTGTGTGTGCGTGAGTTCTCAAAGAGAAGAACAAACATGACAGTGACTTGGTTCTTCTGTTTCTCATCATATTCTTCACACCGTCTCGACCAAATCCAGCTCTAACAGCAGCCGATGAAGATATTCCTTCAGTTACAGCACATGTTTCTGGTAGTGTACTCACTCAGCAGCGCTGAAGGCCACCTCAAAGTTTTGTCTGCGATTGCTGGGGCTCAGGGAGTCGTAGTCAAAAGCTTCAGGAAAGAAACTGTGCACAAGGGCACAAAACGCCATACCATTGCTCCAGCTGGATGAGAAGTTCTGAATGTCCACGTGCTAAGACAAACAGTGACAGAAAAAAAAAAGAACATTACCCAGACCTGGTTCAGCTGCAGCTTCATTGGGTTGTGTTAAAGAAGAGTAAAGGATCACTGTGGCTCACCTCATATGAGCGCGTCTTAGCCCGACACCAGTCGAGCAGCATCTGCTTGATGGAGTTTGCATTCGGTACACCAAAGCTGGTTGAGCGCTGCACCTTGTTTACTTTGGCCACAGCCTGATTTCCAGCGCTAAGAGAAAAGTCAGTTTTGTTTTAATATTTACATGCTTTCACCTGCCCCTCTTCTTTTTTTGGTCACACAGTGCTTCTTTGTTTATCCTTACCCGCCTCCCTCCTTTTCCAGACGATCGACCATGGCTTTGCGAGCCTGCATGGCGGAGGTCTTGGGCAGTGTTTGAGCCCTCATCAGCTCCTTGCGCCTCTCAGCCTGCCGTCGCTCCACAGCGGACAGTCCGCTGCTTCGGGATGACGTGTCATCCTCTCGATCGAACACACTGAGACAAGGACAGGTGGATCAAATTAATTTGTGAAAATTAAAACACAAGAAGTTTTGAGTTATTATCCTCCAGGAGCTCCATGACCCACCTGCCCACTTTTTTGCTTGTGTTAGAGGATGAGGAAGAGGTGTAGCTGTATGATTTTGACTGGACTGTTCCTCCTAAAAACACAGAAAGAGAACCCAGTTATACTTTATTGCTACTGCATGCCACAGTAAAGGCAGAGTAAAGACTCACTGTCTGTTTTCTGCACAAAACTGGTCTCTACAACAGTGCTGCACGTCGATTTGCTCCCATCATCTAAAATACACACAAGCACATGCAAAATTAGTTATTTGCAACAGGACAGCAATCAGTCATCCTTTACTGTTAAAGGATGTTACTGTTTGCAATTTTTAATTTATAAAAGGCCTTAATGTTTTATATTTATTTGTAAAAACTTTAATTGTGGTTGATTGAGTACTTAATATACATTCAAGGGAAGTGTAATGAAGGATAAGGAAGAAACTACCAGACTGTGCAAAGCGGTTCGTCTTGGTGACTTGGCTCAGGGTCGAACCATCTGCTGACTTCTCCACCTTCCTGATCACCACCTCTCCAGCTCCAGGTCCTGCACGACCTTTTTGCACTTGCTTTTCTCTCTGCTGCCGCAGCTCCTGCATCCGAGTCTCGCGCTCCTTTTCTCTCAGGTCTGAGGTGGAAGACATGATACGACAGATGATGTTATTGGAAAAAGTGTAGGGAGGAGGCGGAGGACAAGAGTTCATAAACAAGCTGACAGCACCTCATCTGACTCCTGCAAAGATGGATTCAAGCGGGGATTCCAGATCAGAGAGCAACACATTTCACGAGTCTTTCCACAGTGCTGGTAAATTTCTCACAGCACACAAACAACGAGAGATTTAGCAGCCATGCAAAAGCTGTCAAATAACGTCCTGTGCAAATATCACAGATCAAAGAGAGCAAAAGCACTGCAGAAGACGGTGCCAAATTTAGCAAATACAGATACCTGCACTGGTGCTGTCAGCTTTTACCTAAATTGGTATTTAAGGATTCTGTTGAGTGCTATTCTGAGACACTTTCAGTGACTTTACTGTAAAATTTAGCCTAATTTTACACCACTTAAAGCATATGCTGTGTCACTGAACAAAAGTTTCAGAATCAAATTGTGTCAAAACCACAATCTCAATCCATTTAGTGCCTTTTAAAACCAAGTGACAAACAATAGTGGAACCTTAACACACAGGACTCATGCAAATTGACTAAATCATCCACAACAAGCAGATAATTCAAACTGTAGTAGTCTATCAATAAAACTTTGACAAACTCAGGACAAAAACAATTGTAAACACACTCTGCAGACCACCTGCCCTACCCATTTCCTCTTGAGTACATCCCATCATGGCCTCTGATGGCAGAAGGGATAAAATTAAGTTTTTCAAAATTAAGTTTTAAATATGTATAAAATAATAAAGTTGAAAAAAGTGAGTTTTTATCGCAAAGAAAATGAAAACCTGTGATTAAAAAAAAATAATAAAGCATGAAACAAAACGTTTTAGCGTGCCGTTACCTCTCTTTCTCTTGCGCAGGTCTCTCATGGCTGCACGGATCAACTTCCTCTCCTCAAAATCTTTTGACTCATCAAGCTGCAAAAATTTTTTTTAAATAAAATAAAATAAGCACAATTTAAAAGAAAGTTTTTGCAAAAAGCCAAATCAGCAAGGAGTTCTAAAACAGTTTACCTGTCAGACAAGGCAGCAAATTCTCCTAAACACACACCCTGCATCCTAACTCAAGCTGCTTTTGAATTCAAATCAAAGTTCAAATAGAAATGGAAAGTACCATTTTGTCAAGAAGCTCTTCATCTTCAATCGATGCGAGCTTTTCGGCTGTCAGTTTTCCAGAGCACTCTGCGGGTTTGGTCTGAGTGCTGGAGCCGTTTGGGATGGCTGAGACTTGATGTGCCACCTGCACAGACTGTCCAGCTGAACGCACCGGCTCGGAGGAAACAACGGGCTCGGTCTCCATCTGCATGCAATACATAAACAAACAAAATAGAAGCAAATAAACATGCAGGTAATGCATTCAGAAGATGTGTCTTCACTCATATTACAAAAAAATAAATATATATATTAGCATGCTCCAGTTCTAAGCTGTGTATTTAAAGGTTGAAATTTATAAAACATTTATTGGTGGCTGACATTTTCCACATAATTTTGATTAAACCCACTGCAGCTACAAGGCCCTCTCATCCTATCCCAACTTTATTATGGGGGCCGAGATGGTGTAGAGGCAGGGCAGCCAGCTTGGGACCCGAAAGTCCCAGGTTCGATCCCCAGTCACTGCACATCACGTGGCGTCTCTGGGCAGCACGCCTCATCCCCAAAATGCCCCCCGGACGCTTTCAATAGCTGCCCACTGCACCACCTGGTGGTGGATGGGTTAAATGCAGAGACTAATTTCACCATTGTATGGAAACATACAGTGCTGACATTGTGATGACATTATTATTATTATTATTATTATGCAAATTTGCCAGAGAGTGACAGAAAGCACATGGAAGTGAGAGAAACTCTGCCATGCTACTGTTTGTTTAGTGCAGCGTGTGACTGAGTGTCTTGATACTATCACACTCCTGCCAACCAGCAGTTTATATGACACTATCACTGTTGGACGGGAACAATGCTTTAGTCGGTTTACAGTAAATGTCACGCTTCCTGGTATGTACACCAGACGAGGGAGTAGAGAAAGGTGAAGTATAGTACTAGAAGAAAAAAAAACAATTTATATGTATTAATTTTAAAAAAATTAAACACCAAAAATGGTGTTTGAACTGATGAAGATTGCCTTAACAGACTATTTATAGACATTTTGAAAAGGTTGTTATTGGATCAACATCAGGTACAAAATTATTTTCCCCAAACAGACTATAATGCACATTGTATTGAATCTTAATTTTTCATATGGCACAGAATGATGTGAGAGAACTGGCTGTACCTTTGGCTTCAAAGCTTTTGTTGTAGCAGTAACCAAATTCATGTTCAGATATAGCTCAACCAGCTGGCCCCATCTCTACTCACAGCTGCGTCACCCTCCACCGGGGGCCCCAGACCAGATCTCACCAGGGAGCAAGACACAATACAGCTATAGAACTGTGCAATCAAAGGTGTCTCTGGTCTTGAGGTTTTTCAGGGCACAGAGTTTTGACCCTGTGGGATCGGCTGCACTGAGATGCCCTTGACCGATGAAGAATGTTTTGGGACACAACAAAGCCAAACAAGGGCTCTGAATCAACCAATGAGGGATTAGAAACTCCCAGATAACCCAAGTAATCAAGCTTCAAAGTCCCCTCAGAAGTCAACGTGGGATGAAAAAGCACTATTTTACGTTTTCTGTGGCATCAGGTTAGCAATCCTCTTATCTTTGTAATTAGAACTGCAATGCGGTTTCTTTGGATACAATTCTGCATACCCGATATGAAGAAAATCACTTCTACTGAACAAGCATGGTCAGGTCAAGTCAGACCATTTAATCTCATCTGAGAGCAGTCAGTCACTTTGACCATAGCAGCGGACAGGACGAGCCTGCTGTCTATGCAGAATAAAAAGATGAAGATGAAAACAAGAGGATGCAAATGCTCAATAATGCTAAAAATGTCAAAACTTAAAATGTTTTGTTGTGGAATTTCAAGCAAATGTTGATAAAACAAGTTTGTAGATAAGAACCGCAAGATTCGACAACCTGACAAACAATTCAATACAATTCCAGCTCTGAACAAAACTAAACTGTTCATATTTGGTTTGATTTTCTTTATAGGCTAATTGATGGGGTACAACAAGACAATGACTAGTCAACAAGTACACAGTCAGAACAAAGACAGCACAACAGGGTACGGCACATAAAAGTCAAGGCCAGCTGATCCACAGGGACACTGGAACAAAACACATTTCCATTGTTCAAGTGGTTTATCTGATATAGAACGGGTCATGGTGAGAAGGATTAACAGCAAGGGGTACCGTGCTGCAATTTGAAGAGCTGCTTGTCCTCAGAGACGGAGCTGATAGGGAGCGACGGGTTGCAAAGGTTGGTGAGTGAGAGATCGGTGAAGGCTCTGACTCCTGAGGTGAGCTCATCTCAGAGGATGCAGCCTGGAGGATTGGTATATCGTCCTCAGGTATGTTTGTTTGCAGTATCAAACTGGCTGATGGTTCCAGGGGTGTACGTGGCGCAACATCTTGAAGACTGCAGGCTGAACCATCATGTGAAGCTTCAGGTATAGTCTCTTCATGTGTAATAGTTGAGAATTCATTGGGTAAAGTTTTAGTTTCATCCAGACTTGAACAACTGTCTTTGCTGCTGAATTCATGTAGTTTGGGATCAGCTAGTCCCATCACCTGAAGCAGGGCCTCCACTTGTCTCACCATTCTTGCTTGCTCATTCTTTAGTTTCAGGTTCTCCTCCTGCAGCTTGCCGATAGCCTCAGCCAGAGGAGCCACTTGAGATGATGCCTCCTCCAGACAAGCATCCACTCGCTTTCCAAAGGCCTGCAGATCGCTGTGGATCTCCCTCACAGCACATCGCAACGCTAAATCAAACTTTTTCTCGTTGAACTCCTCTTCATCTTCAGTATCATTTTGGGCAAGCAGATCACCGATCACCTCTTCCAGGCCAGATTCTGCACAAGTACTGTCTGGAGTGCCCAAAGCTTCTATGGGCTGTGAGGCTGGGAGGAAGTCCAGGTTCACCCCAGGCATATTCACACCACACTAATACTTGCTGTTATTTTAGCTTCTGTTGTAAACGAAGAGAATTACAATGTTATGGACTCTACTCTTAAACCTGTAGAACCTATTCCCTCTGTTTCTGACGGTCAGAAACAATGCATGTGCTTTATACCCTCAGCACGCCACCCCTCTTCACAGGCAGACGGCTGAAAGCCAATCAGTAAGCACAGTTTTTCTGGCAACCCCCACTGACTTATTTTCTAGGTGCAGCAGACATGTACATTTATCCCCTGCCCTCCTATTATTCCACTGAGCCAGTCACGCTCTGGGAGGAAGCAAGTGGGGCAACAAATGAGAGAACGTACCCCTCCCACTTCAACTGTCATTTTATTTAGGCCACGTCCTTCACACCTCTGCTGGACAGCAACACTACTTTATAAGTTGCTCCAAACATGCCTTGAAATCAGAATCTGACTTCTACTAGAATCGTTGTAAAGAAGCAGGTCCAGGCTGATCAACTCGGTATTATTTGTTAAACAGTGACTGAAAGTAGATCTCCACTGGCGAGATCAGACCATGAAGGGCAAAATATTTAGAGCCACGACAGATCAGGCTGAGTGCCCGGTGGTGATGAGCCAGGGTTCAGTTCTGAGCAAGGATCTTGGGAGGACACCAGAGCCTTTAAAACCTCTTGTTTAAAACTTATTGGCAATTTGGCACAAGTCCAACTGCTGCTCGCATGGAAAGTTCAAGAGCTGCAGTGTTAAATTAGGAGCGCTGACAGAAGTCTGTGTATGCACATAATCCTGTTTGATGTTCAAGCACGCCTTTAAAAGCGAACTACAGATTTCTAATCATGGTGCCCCTCGCAGCACATGGCCCAGATAAATCTTTGATTTATGTATAAATAATTAAAGTATTGGAAGTGCAAACAGAGGACTAGACAGTGTTTTAGAAACAGGCCAATATAACTAATATTTATATTCCTCTAAAATACATGTACACAACACATCAATCATTTAAAATCAACATAACTGAGGCTCAGTGGAGAAGAATATTTCAAAGGGCAACTGTTGTCTCTGACCTTTACAGGTTGGGAAAGTAGTTCCCTGGAAAAATATAGTCCCAAAGGAAAGTGCAAAATGTGGAAACAGGAAAACTGGGCCATTCCCAGAGGAGGACACTGCTCTAATCTTACACTGCACAAAACACTGGGAGTAATTTACCAACGAAGGGAAAAGACATAAGAAGACAAGGATGTACAAGCAATTTTTTGCATGAATGTAAAATGCACGGCGGATTATTGAAGAAACCGATGTCTTTGGTGAAACTGTCGGTGGGATATGACAATATATATATATATATATATTTTTTTTTTTAATTTTTTTTTTTTTTTATGCATAATGCAGTACCAAATAAAAATACAAAAATATCAGTCAGAAGAGCAAGCTGGAACATCAGATTTGACAGATTCACTGTGACACGTTACCTAGTTACATAACTAACCATGTGTCATGAATCGGCAGCAGGTAAACAACGAGGTTGGTGTGTCAGAGAATTTTTGGTCAAAGGTTATGGATGTTTTTATTATTATGGCTGAGAATCTTATCTCTGCCCATGAACCATATGTTTGGGTTAGCAGAGAGAGGTGGATGAGGCTGCAGCATGCAGCTATGGCAAGCCCTCAAATCCAACTTTTACAATGCTTCCTCACGCAAAAAATGCCGGATTACATTGTAAAATACGGCGTAAATCCACTCAAACCGCCACTTTTTTATGCTGACCTTCTAAACGCTGAAAATTACGGCGTTTATTTTGGGCATCGAACGCCGCCTTTTACGCGTCACGCTGTTATAAACGTCATAATTTTGCCGCAATTTACGTCGTAAAAGACTGTGTTTTTTTAGATTAATGAGATTGGTACAGAGAATACATGAAATCGGCCAAAAAAAAAACAAAACAATCCAAATCTCTTTCCAGCACAGCTGATCTGTGATGAATGACCGGTAGTATGATCTGTAATTAATAAGAAAGTATGGGTAGGGACTTGCAAAATTTAAGAAAACGCCGTCTTTTACGGCGTAAATTGCGGCAAAATTATGACGTTTATAACAGCGTGACGCGTAAAAAGCGGCGTTCAATGCCCAAAATAAATACCGTAATTTTTGGCGTTAAGAAGGAAGGCGTAAAAAGCGGCGTTTTGAGTGGATTTATGCCGTATTTTATGGTGTAATCCGGTGTTTTTTGCGTGAAGAAGTGTTGCAAAAGTGTCTGTTCGTGGATTTGAGGGCTTACCATATGCAGCTGGCTCCCAGGACACCTCCTGAGCTCAGTGAACTCAGCTGAACTGATAAAGTTATAAAAGCAAGTGGAGGGGTCACAGCTCGAGGCAGATTCTAGTGACTGGTCTTTATGTGTGTACATGTATGTATATTTATGTATCCTGTCCAGAAATTTTGAAAAATCTTCTCCTGCCGTTGAGTGTGGCTCTTTCTGAGTAAACAACGTAAGCGAGAATGTATTTCTTCAACACTTTGTCCATCTGTGGGACAATCTGTCATAAACTGCCGGTTACATTTGTGCGTCTGGGTTCACGCAGCAGCCAGAGTGACTGGGAGCTTGGAAGTAATGTGTGAAACTCCAGAAAAGACTGAATGGTACGTCATAATTCTGACATTAAAAATTCAGTTTAACATTATTTAGGTTTTAAGGCAGCAATTAGTGGTGTATGTGGACCGATGCATCTCAGATTTGATTACATGTTTGAAACAAAAATAATTTAAATAATTTTGTCTGTCGTTCATTCAATTTTACCTTTAGCATGAATGACAAGAACCCACTTTGTTTCTGTTAACTTTGATTTAAGAAGCAATGCACTGAAACACCAGTACTGTCAGCATCAACATGTTTAACTGGGATCAAATAAACATTAATTCAATTTGTAAGATGTGAGTGATAAAGTTAGACCACCAAGGACAGACCGGACCACCCAAATGGATCAGTGTTTCTGACAGGAACCCTGCTGGTTGATAAACAATCAACAGCACCAAACAGGAAGAGTTTGGTCAAACTCTGCTTAAGATATCTGCACAGCCGCTGAAGTATAACAAAAATAATTTCAGCACGGTAAAAAGGCCACATCTTCTCCTCTCCCTAAACATTAACTTTCACTAAACCAGGGAAAGTCAGAAATCAGGCGACATCTGGATTTGACCAGGTGACCAGGCTACCTATATACCCTCAGGGTTGATGTTAAGCCGGAGTTGGCTGATGTTTTTTTTTTTTTTTTTTTTTATCTTATTAGTACAGTTATTTAGATTCAGGCTTTGTACGATAAAACAAAACAAATCCAGCAAGTGTAGCGGATTTAACAGCTGACCTGAGAGACAAGAAGACTTGGTGCTTTATCACTGAAGACATTCATGAAAGGTCAACACATTTGTGATGATGTTGTTTTTATGATCTATGAGAATTATATGATGTTGGGATGAAAGCATGTCTGAGTAACT